GAACTTCCTTTGGCTTTATATCTAATACTCAAATCCTAAACAATTCTGGGTTGATTTTATTTTTTTTTTTATCAGCAAAAACGAATCTTATTATATAGAGCACAAGGGGTACTCTTGCCCATATACACTAATTCCAAAAAAGCACAATATCACAAAAAGTGCAAAACCTCAAATATAACCATCATGCAAACATAGCAGAAACCGAGAACAAAGTAGCATAAAAACATCATACACTTGCCTCTGCAGCTTAGTCAACACCTTCCAGCACCCAAAATCCAAACGTAGCAAAAACCACCAACGCACTTGAAAAACGTTACCCTTCCTGATCCGCTCTCATCCAGTCTGCTCCCGATTGCAAATTCCTTGCACTCTTTAAATTCTTGCGATGTTGCACAATAGCCTCCCTGCACTCCCTTGGCCTCAACATCCAATCCGTATATGAAAACACACACCCTGGTTCCTTATTCTTGAGCCATGAAAAAGATTTTGCTTGAATAGACTCAAATAATTGCTCTTCAGACATACCCTCTGACCTAAACACATACAAATTCCTCCAATACCAAATAAACCACGCCGTAACCAAAAACATTAGAGCACCTAATTCCTTCAAAACACCTCCACCTATCTCAAATACCACTAACTCCACCCAACTAAACAGATCATTTGGTAAAACACCCTGAATCTCCCACCACCCCAAAACCTTCATCCATACTAACCATACCCTTTTACACCCACAGAAAATATGATGAAGATGCTCCTCCCCCTCATGACAGAACACGCATCCCTTATCACCCCCTGACAACACAATTCCTCTCTTACATAAATTCTCCTTCGTCGCTAACCTATTCAAAAACAGTCTCCACCCAAACACACTCACTTTTGAAGGAACATATCTATTCCAAATCACCTTAGCCCATTTCTCCTCAACAAAACAAGAAGTTGGTGTTAGGAACTCATAAGCTGCCTTCACCGAATAACAACCATCACTACTATGCACCCATTTCCAAACATCCTCCCTATCAATCCGCAACGTAAATCCATTAATCATTGCCCGAAAAATTTCTTCCTCTTCTGCAGCCCTCCCTCTACTTCCACACCGCCACCTACACTCCCACACCCAATTATCTCCACACCAACCACCCATATCCTTCAATACCCCTTCCTTCCTTATAGCCAACACAAACAACCTAGGATATAACTCCTTCAAAGATTTAACCCCCACCCATTTGTCACTCCAAAAATCCACACAACTTCCATCCCCAACTTCTCACTTAAAACCCCTTACTAACATCTTTGTAAATCGCTCCGATCTACTACCCAAACACACAATATCCTTCCAAATCCGAGACATATTCAAACACTCAACGGAAGTGACATCCCTCTCCCTCCTACCCCCATAATATTTTCCCCAAATCATCCTCTTCCATAAGCTATCCAAACCATCTCCTAAACGAAACCACCATTTCCCCAACAAAGCCCCATTCTTTCTCTCTAAATCAACCACTCCTAGACCCCCCTTCCCCTTCTCCGCACACATACACTCCCAACTAACCCATGGAATCTTTTTAGCCAAACTCACACCACCCCAGAAAAAATTCCGCTGAATTTTAATCAACTCAACAAGAACAACTTTAGGAATCTTAAATAAAGACAAATAAAAAATAGGGATAGCTGAGAGTACCGAGTTTATTAAGGTAATCCGGCCTCCAAAGGACAGTAATGGGCTCTTCCAAGTGGCTAACTTTTGATGAAACCGCTCTATTATCGACTTCCAACACCTTTTCCTCCCCGGATTTCCTCCTACTGGCAAACCCAAGTATATAAAAGGCACTTTGCCCACCCCACAGTGTAACATATCTGCTGCCCCTTGTAACCAACCCTCCGAAATATTAAAACCGTACAGATGACTCTTGCTAAAATCTATCTTTAACCCAGAGATCAGTTCAAACCAAAACAAGATAGCTTTCACAACTCTAACATTTTCTGCATCAGCTGTCCCGATGAACACTGTGTCATCTGCAAATTGTAATAGCGACAAAACCACCCCTCCCCTTCCAATCTCTACCCCTCTCAACAGCCCTTCACCCTCAGCTTTTTTGACCAGCCCACACAAACCTTCTCCAACCAATAAAAACAGAAAAGGGGACAAAGGATCATCTTGACGGAGGCCTTTGGAAACAGAGAATTCCTTCGTTGGACTTCCATTAATTAACACCGATATCCTCGCAGTTGAGAGACATTCCCGGATCCATTTCCTCCATTTATCCCCAAAGCCCATACTATCCATCATCCAATCGAGAAAACCCCAATCCACACAATCATAAGCTTTCTCAAAATCAGCTTTAAACATAAAGCTTTGTTGCTTTCTGCTTTTTACCTCATGCACAACCTCATTCAAGATTAGCACGCTGTCCCCAACTGCCTACCACCCACAAAAGCGGACTGAGAATCACTAATTAAATCTGACATTACCATTTTCAACCGATTCGCCAGCACCTTGGCCAACAATTTATACAAACACCCCAGCAAGCTAATAGGCCTATACTCCTTAAACTGAAGCGGATTCAATTTCTTAGGAATTAATGCAAGGAAGGAAGAATTTAAGCCTTTCACTAACCTCCCATGCTGATGAAATTCACACATAAAATTCACGAAATCATCTTTCAAAGAGCTCCACGCAAACTTTATGAAATTAAAATTAAACCCATCCGGACCGGGTGCCTTTGAGCCATCACAACTATGAAGTCCTTCTTCAATCTCCTCTATTGAGAAAGGCCTTTCGAGCCACTCCCTCTGTTCAGCTGAAATTCGACGAAATTGAATCCCACCCATCACTGGACGACTCCACTGTTTATTCTGAAATAACTGACAAAAATACCGCACTGCCTCCGCCTTTATCAGATCAGGTTCCTCAACCCACCCACCCTCACCTAAAATGCCTGATAATACATTCTGTGCTTGTCGTGCATGCACACATCTATGAAAGAATGCCGTATTTGCATCCCCAAGGCGAACCCAATTGGCTCGTGATTTTTGTTTCCACACCGCTTCTCTTTTCTGTAAAATTTCCCAAACTTCCTGAGAACACACCCTTCGTAACATCACCTCATTCTCATTTAGATCAGTCTCCTCACTTTTTTTATCTAACATCTCAATTTGCTGCAACAAACTCTCATACCTTACCTCCACATTTCCAAACACCTCCTTGTTCCACCTTTTGCATTCCTCCTTTAATAATTGCAGCTTTTTGTGACACTTGAAAGCTGCCCAGCCTTCCATCTGCAAATTTTCCCATTTAGCCACCACAAAATCTCTAAACTCCGGGTGTTGTTGCCATACATCAAGAGCTCGAAACGGCTAAGGACCCCAATCAACATTTCTCGATTTCAAAATAATAGCACAGTGGTCTGAGATTGAGCGTCGAACCCCAACTTGTGTCCAATCTCTTTCCAACATACTCATCTCCGAAGATAACAAAAATCTGTCAAGTCTACTCATTGAGCTTCCATCAGATCTATACCAAGTAAACTTCCTGTTCAACAATTTGACATCAATTAGACCATTCCCTTCCACAAATCGATTAAACTCTTCCATATCCTGAGTCTCCCCTAACCTCCCCTTCCTTTCTATTATACTTCGAACAGAGTTAAAATCCCCTGCTAAAAGCCACCTCCCACCCTGATCCGACACTAAACTCCCCATCTCTTCCCACAACAAAGCCTTCTCTTTCTTATCACAAGGAGCCTACACATTCACCATATTACAATTGAGCTGCTGACTACCCCATTCCCCAGAAATCCCGATAAACCCCTTTCCTTCAAACCCCCTCTTTTTCACAAAACTCTTCTTGTTCCATATGCACAATAACCCCCCCGAATTTCCTTGTGATTTTTGCATTACCCAATCAAAATCTTCCGAAATCCACAACATCCTGCACAGAGAAACCTCCACCACTTCTAATTTCGTTTCTTGAATGAATAAGAAATCAGGCTTCTCCTTTCTTACTAATTTATGGACCTCCTTTCTCTTCAAAATACTACCCAACCCCCTCACATTAAAAGAAATAATCTTCATAAATTAAAAGCATACCTCACTGCACCCCCCCCATAGGCACCGAAAATTCAGTCTCCTCTTAGACTGACAGCATCCCTCTCTTCTAAATCTGTCATCCTTGAGAACACCTCTGCTTCATTCTGTTGACACTGAATTCCTAACCTTTGCCCCATCTCAAATAATCTGCGCACCTCATCTACCTCCATCTGTTGCCTAATCACGTGATTTCTTTGTTGAATACAACCATCGGACAAAGAGGCTTCCCGCTGCACTTCCTGCCAAGACCCAGCCATCTGAACTGCTTCCTTTCTTTCCCTTCTAAGCCTTGTTCTCTCCATAACCCACGACACCTCTGTTTCTCTCGATTCCCTCACTCCCCTGCCCCCAGCATATATCTCCTCCACACATTTATATTTCTTCACCCGATCCCTCCGACAAAGTTGTGACCCAGCTGGCTCCAACATACCCCATTCGGCCAGCTGCAGACCATTCTCAACAAGTTCTGGCCCACTCAAGTTATCCAGACCCGGCCCATTCACACCAAGCCCATGTTCCCTAATCAACTCACCCGATCTTTTTTCCGCCAAAACTCCTTGCTCATTTAAACTTACATGAACGTCAAGGGACGTTGCTGCGCGATCCTCGGCCAAATCAGCGACTTCATCGCCCAGAAATCCGTCCTCATTTAACTGACAATTATTGTAACCGTCACTGGAAGCTTCTGAATCGGAATCTGATGCTGGGTTTCGCCGTTCACCAACCAACCACCAATCTGGGTCCATCCGCCACTCCTCCTCCTCCACAGTAACCGGAAAATCTTCACCATCAATCTGCAGCTTAACTATGGTTGAAACTTTGGTTTTTTCCGTGCTCAATATCAGCACTCTACCTTCACACAGGAAAGATTTGCTCTTTGTATCCTCATCCACAAGAATCACCTCTCCAATTAATCCCCCTAGCTCCGTGAAGCATCTGTCACTCCATGCTTTCAAAGGGACCCCTGTCAACCGAAGCCACACCAATCTACTCAATAGAGGCTTTGTAGTTAAGCTGCTTTGCTGAATCCATTCAAACCAATAATCTATCAACTCCCGATTATCCTTTATGAATTCCTCAAGACATCCTTCCGAATTATCCAGTAAAACTACCTGACAACCCCCTAACAAAGCTACTGTAACCCGAACCCCATCAACATTGAATCTGTTCTGAATTTGCTTCACCATATCTAAAGATCTCACCATGGCCCCCCAACTTCGTTTCAACCATGCCCCCTCCTCCTCCGTAGGAGAAAAAGTTAAAACCAAATCAGGTTTTGATAAGCATCTCATCGCAGTCCTACCAAATGAGACTGTCTTCATTGACCCGTCGTGCCTTGTCTCCGGCTCCGCTTCTGAGCCTTTGGATTTTATGCCATCCTCCACAACCCTCTTCCCTATTGACTCATTCTCCTTTAATGCCGAAACATGTCGTAAAGCATTAGCCGTAGAATTTCTATCCTCAACTTCAGCCATATTCCCGGTCACCACCTGTGCATAAGTCACCTTTGGATTCACCTTGTTGTCCCTCTTAATCCATTTCTTCTCAATCTGTGCTTTGTGTCTCACCATTGACCCTTCCTTCCCTTTTTTCATACTGTCTGCCACCTTCACCTTAAGATGATAGGAACCCAACCATATCTGATTCAATTTCCTTTCCATTTCTGTCACATTTGAAACCTCTGACATTCGAACAAAGCCAAACCGACGCCCTCTTCGATCCCGCCTTGCCGGAATATAAACATCTGCTACCTTCCCATATGACCCAAAACAAAACCATAGATCCTTCGCAGAACTATCCTCTGGAAAATCATAGAAGAAAAACGAAGTCGCCTGACCCAGATACTGCTTGCCAAAACCCGGAAGCCACCGTCGGAGCCCATTACCGCTGTCCCTAGCTGCCGGACGCCTTGTCCAAACCCTAGCACTCTCTCTCTCTCTAAACCTCTCTCTCATCTTTTTCTATCTCTGGGTTGATTTTATTTAATTACATATTGATTTCTATTTTGACAAAATATTAAATGTTTTTTATAATTGTGCATTTACTTTTCTTTATTGAATATAAAATCCGAGTACAGGACACCCCCACACTTTGAACTTGCAATCTTACAATCTTATTGCATATTTTTCATAACTGAATAGACTGCCCTCATATTTGCCTCCTAATCTAATCCAATTACATAATCATTTAAAAAAGAATAAAACTAATGCCGAAGACAGTAGCTTATTGTATCCTGACAAATTAAAATTTTATGCCAGGTAATAAGGCAATTGTGAAAGTTTTTCCCAGTCCCAGCCAAGAAGGGTACTGCGAAAATGAACCAACTGGTGGGAATAGCTCTTCACTATCTCGATACGTTTAGTCAAGCCAAGATGCGTCATGAGAAGGGCTACGTAAGTGAGCAACTCCCCACCATGCCTGAGCTGTATTCCATGCTCTCTCCATTCACATTTACTTGCAGCAAATGCCAACATCCAAAAGGGATTATCCCTACTTGCAGCAAATGCCACCATCCCTACTATTTATATATAGGTTTACACATCATACTTACATAAAATTTCAACCATTCATTTCTCTATTTTCAATAATTAAAATTTATTTATATTTATTAAAGATAATTATTTAAATGCAAACAGCTTTGAATCAAAGGAGAAAGAGCTGATCATAAGATTAATAAACCAAACACACACATATATACATATATGTATATATACACACACAAACACCCGTATTGTGTGTAATGAAAATTAGAAATCATCAATTCATTAAAAGACATTATAAATAACAAAATATTTTTGAGATAGCTAGTTAATTACCATTAAAAGAATATAATCACTCTGCCTGTAGCAAATAAGGTATTGGTACAAATTCCTAATTCAAATATTCACACATCCAAATATCAATCCAAAAGGATTTTGCTTTTGAAAAAAAAAAAAAAAACCCCAACATATAAAGAAAAAGCATTTACCAACCTTACCTCTAAAAAATTATAAGGAAAAACATTAAAAAACTATATCATTTTAATAAATTTACATTGAAAAAGATTAATTAATAAGACAATGATTGGTGCATCTTTTAATTCAACACATTTCACAATATATTCATTGAGAAATTATTATTTTCAAATTTGAAGCTAAAGCAAGCAAATTTTCATTTGCAAAATACAAAAAATAAAAAATAAAAAAAATAATTTTGTAGTTATTAATTAAATTATAAAAATAGTAAACAAAATTCAATTATAATCAATCAAGTGCCCCAACAATATATATTTACACACAAACTATATTTGAAGAAAAATTAACTTTCCAAAGAATATATTCAAATATGGAAATTGTGAGAAATAATTTAAATACAAGAAAAAGAAATTGTAATTTACTTATAATGAGATAATTTGAATATAAAATTCTAAAAACAAAAAACAAAAAACCAAACACGTACTTTGTTAATAAAGTTATAAATTATAAGATTTGATAGAAATAAGAGGAGATAAGTTGCATAAATCAAAATTAGTAGTAAAACTTACCTCATAATATGATTTTAAACTTAATAATCTGAAAAAAAAAAAAATGTTAGTAGATAAAGAAAAAGTAACTTGATTACATAGAAACAAAAAGATGCAAATGGAAAATAAGAAGAAATTAATACCTTGCAGGATTGGATTGCACAACCACTTGTTTGTTGCACGGCTATTGATGATTATCGTGTGGCTCAAAAGGCATTTCAAAATCTTAAGTTTGAGTTGCAAAGGATGAAAATTAACTCATGTTGATGTTATGGTTAGATTTTATTTGAAGATTATATTGATGTATTAAGATATGATTTAGGATGGAGTACCCCTTATACTCTTATTCATATAAATTTTTACTTTGATCAATAAAAAAAAAAAGTTCCACAAGACTACATTTGGCGTTAAAAATAAAATTTACTTATACAATTTTCATACAAATTAACAGTAAGAAAGTGCAATAATGCACCCTTAACCACAATCAAAAAAAAAAAAAAAAATTGCACGCTTAACTTTTGCTCTAAGAGCACAAATGTGAAAAACCCTAATTAAAATGGTTATTGTTGAAAATTGGCAAAACCCCCTCTTAGGCCCCTATACTTACCCAAATTAACAATGAGCCCCTAAACTAAAAACAGTACAAATAAGCCCTCAAACCTTTTGAATGATGTAAATTAGCCCACAAACCCCTCCAAAGATGCTAATCAGCCATCGTCATTAATGACCCAATACATATGACTTGATGTTGTCTACCCTTTTCCTTCACAAGATGCCACTTTTCTAAATGGATGCTGTCGTTGATCAAAGAACCCCTTAAGTAATAAAAATCCTATCAAAATGACTTACATCGCCCCTTTTTTTATTTAGGTCACATGAACCATTTTAATGAGATTTTATTGCCCAAGGGTCCTTTGATCCATTTTAGCATCCATGAAGAAACATGAGACCTAATGAAAGAAAAGAGTAGATGACATTAGGTTATATGCATTGGGTCATTAATGGTGAGGGCTTATTAGCATCTTTTGAGGTGTTTGGGGTCTAATTTGCATCACTCGAGGGATTTAAAGACTTATTTGTACTGTTTCTAACTCAGGGGCTGACATGTTATTTTGGGAAAAGTTAGGGGGCTTAAGAAGGTGGGTTTATCTTGAAAATTCTACAGCTAAATAAAAGAACTCAATTACGTTAGTACACGAGAACTATTTTTAAAAAATCATGAGATGGCAAATACACATTAATTTCTAACACTTGCTGTAACACCCCACATACCTTAGTGAATAATTTAAAAATTAGTGTCCTTTAGTTTATAGTTTTAGGGATTAAATTGATTGAATTTAAAGTTTAGGGGTTTAAAGTAAAACTTAGTAGAAGTTGAATGACCATAACTCAATTATTCCAATTTTACTCAACACATGGCATTTTCCCAACCAAGTTTTTGGTCTTTGTCGATGGAAGCTTGGATAAGCCTCCAGAAGGCTCCCAAAAGCCTCATTTGGTTTTCCTATGCCTTCCTCTTCCACCTCCATCATTTTCTTCCTCCTTTTTCCAACCAAGGTTAAGGTCCTTTTATTAGGTAAGTATAAGTTTTAGTTATGAATTTTGGGTTAGAGTTTTGGGTAGTTTAAATTGGTAAGATTTAACTTTAATCCTTTGGTTTATAAGATTTTTGGGTATTAAACTTTTATTAGAGATATCCTTAATTTTGGGGTTTATATGGCAAATATAGTGAGTTAGTCCTTTCTATGGTTTGATTTGGGTGTGATTTTTACTGCAGGAATTATAAGTAAATTGTATTATTTGCGAATTACTGTTCATGATTACTGTTTACGATTACTGTTCACGATTACTGTTCACGCATTATGCTTTGATCTCTTCCAATAGGGAGTCCTAATATTATTTTGGACATATTATGAATTTGTTTGACATGCGTATGTGTTTGTGGCTATGAAATAAGTGGACCTAAGCTTAAAGCTTGGGGTATTCAGTGGACCCTTTGGGGTATTTAGTGGACCTCTGCGCAGTAGGGTTAGTACCGTGATTAGCTCCGGTACAGTGTTGCTAGCACACCTCAGTGGACTCCATAGCATTGTGTGATTTTCGATTTTATGCATTGCGCTTGTGATATCGTGTTTGTAAGCATATGATTTTAGTCTATGAATTTAATTTAAATGTCATTGATTATTACTTGACATTTGTGCTCATGATTTGAGATATTAAATCATTATTTAAATAGTGAGAATTATAATATTATGTGATTTGATT